GTGCGCTCCGGACTCCGAAAATATGAAATCCGGACGTGCTGCGTGAGTTCGACGTCCGGGTCAGTGGCTGCAGGACGCTTGGGCGGGAAGGGAGGCCGTGGTGTTGCTGTCCAGCCGGAGCACCCGCGCGGTCCGGGTATGGGCGCCTTGTACTCCAGTGTAGTCGTGCGCCAGCATCACGAGTTCTCCTGACCCTAGAATCACAGCTCCTGCGAGGAGGGAGGAAAGACCAGCGCTCGATGAATTCTCTACTTTCAACCGGATGAATTCTCATGTACTTCCAGGATGAATTCGCTCTACCTCACGGAAATGAATTCTCTACTTCACCGGATGAATTCTCTTACTTCAGCCGGATGAATTCTTCTACTTCACCGGATGAATTCTCTACTTCAAGCGAACGGATGACATTTCTACTATTCACCGGATAAATGTCTCTACTTCAACCGATCATAGACTTCTCTATCTTCACCGGATGAATTTCTACCTCACCGGATGAACATTTCTAACCTCACCGGATGAATTCTTTTACTTACCGGTGAATTTATCTACTTTCACGCGATGACGCGCGGAGCTAATATGCGATGCGCAGGTTAATCGTGTAATGTTTATTGTTATGTGTTCCTCGTACTTGTCATGTGTCCAGTCCATCCTGATATGGTGACAAGGTAGTGAAGTGCCTTCAGGATGAGCCCAATAAAACGACAACAGTGCAATAATTAATTAATTATAATGAGTGCAATGCCACTCAGTTAGTCGTGTCTCTGTGAGGTTTCTGTCTAACACTTACGACGGCCATCTCACTGAGGAAGATGCTTTGCTCTTCGACGTAAACCTCAAGCTGCTGCCTCCGCGTGGCTTCCTGCTTCAGCTCAGCATGACCCTACCACACAAAACATGGTCTGCTGCTTAATTATTATAATTAGCATATTTAAATATAGTTTTCTGTTTTGATTAAGTGAGAAATTATTGCCATTCTTACCCATGTTCCCTCAAATAGCCAGTTCAAGTGATACCCCTCTACCAATCGTGCTTAGTATTATTCTTAAAGCAGTATCTCCTTTTAGAACTCTTATTTGACAAACGGCAACTTGCAGTCCCACACCTTTTTTTCTTATAATTTATTATTCTTCTGTGAGGAGTAGCTGACTCCATGTGCAGAGAATTCCATCCCTGCAGAGTATTATCGTACTCTAGGAGAATTATCTGACTCTATTTGGAGAGCCCAGAAGTCTCTACAGAATTATCATATTATAAGTGAAGCACCTGACTCTATTTACATATAGGCCAGCATCCCTACAGTATTATCATACTTTGGGGGTAGGTAACATTATGTGCGCTATATAACCTACTCCTCTTCACATGCGCAGACACCTGTGATTTATCACGCCCAGGTAAACACACACCTCCTTCAAGTGTCGCACTAGCTTTGTGAGCAGCTCCAGCAGCAGGCTTGTGTAACCGGAGAGGGAGTCGACAGCAGACGCTCTGGATTCTCCTCTTCCTCCCTCCTTTCCCTCGCTCTTATCTCCTCCTCCTCCTCCCTTACCGGATTCCTCTTCGAACTGCGCCACCTCCTGTTCCAGGTCACTGATCACCTACGTGAGAGTTAGGGAGAAGTCATCAGCGTGTGTTATGTCAGAGAGGGATGACCAGAGTAACTGAACGAAGAGAGAGTAGCAAGTAATAACATAAGTACGAGTAATAAACGAAAGTAAATGTATAACATAGTGTGAGTAAAAGCAATGTACAAATACATCTTTAGCGTCCCGATTCCCCGCAAACTACCGACACGGATACCACACACACACGCTCGTTTTCCGCCAATTTCACCCGCGTGACTCAAACATTACCCTGCGTAGCTGCCTCCATCCTCGCTGCACTGCCGCCAGGTTCCGATGCGGCCTCCCCGCCCTGCAGCAGCTGTGTGCGTAGGTCGAGCGTGCGAGTGTGGATGTCTGCTGTCGTGATCAGTGCTCCGGGCGGCGACGACGATTCCTTCCCCGTGTGGGCGCTCCTCGTCGTCGTCGTTGGCGACGGCGGCCTGTAGTACCGCCGCAGCAGCTCAATCTTATCCCTGATCGCCTCCGCGGCGAGCAACGTCGTCGGATGCGCGCTCGGAGATGAATCGGCGCCGAGAGTAGGGGGCGCCGTGCTCGACTGGCGAGGCGTGCTCGACTGGCGAGGCGCGCCACTAGAGGGCGCCGTACTCGACCCACGGGGTGCACCGGTAGGTGGCGCCGCGTGCGACAGCCGAGCGCCTCGCACCTCGCTGCCGGACCCGCCGCGAGAAGACGACGCGGTTGCCGCGGCGACGGCCGACGACTCCTCCGTCTGTGATGAGGAGGTGGAAATGACCTCACCGGGGTCGCGCGGCAGCCATGCCGCCCGCCGGGGTTGCACAAGCGGCGGGTCCGGGCGACGAGCGTCCAGCGAAACCGCTGCGTTGCCGGGCCAACCGCGGGAAGCCTGCGGGCCAACGTCGGGCGCGCGCGGTCGAGCATTCTCCCGGATCCGGAAGAATCCTTCCGGATCGGCTAATCCGGACGACTCGCTCTCTTTCGTCGGCGTCAGCTGTAGCTCGTCGACGCTGTCTGCGTGACCGTGCAGCGCCGCCGCGGAGGCGGCAACGGCGGGGACAGGTGGCGCCACGATGTCGTCGTCGTAGCGCGCCGCGCCGCCGTGCGCCGCGCAGCGGCTCTGCAACATGTTCCGGAACATCACGTCCAGCTGCTCGGTCGTCATGACGACCGCATCCTCACCTGCTCGCGGCTGCACGCCGCCCGCCGCTCCCCACTCCCCGGACTCCGCTCCGAAATCCGGGGACGGCGACGAGTCGGCGGCGGACGGCTGCGGGAAGGGAGCCGTGTGTTGCTCCAGCCGGAGAAGCCGCGCGTCGGTGGTCGCCTTGTACGCCGTGTAGTCGTGCGCCAGCATCACGAGGTTCTCCTGACCCTGAATCACGTCCTGCGGAGGGAGGGAGGAAAGACAGCGCTCGATGAATTCTCTACTTCACCGGATGAATTCTCTACTTCACCGGATGAATTCTCTACTTCACCGGATGAATTCTCTACTTCACCGGATGAATTCTCTACTTCACCGGATGAATTATCTAC